GGGAGACGGGCTGAGCCGTACCAAGCGCGGGGGCCGCGCCGCCGGCGGGGTCGCGGCGGCCAAACCACTGCGCAGAGCGGGGGAGCCTGGCGCGTACCAACCGCGTCCGCGAGGGGGCGTGGCTGGAGCGTACCAAGGGGGCCAGGGCGCCTCTGGAAAAGGGGCGTGTGAGGGAGGGATGGCAAGGGGAAGACACTGGGTCGCTCCCCAGCGTGGGAGGAGCTACGAGGTCGTGCGACGCAGAAACAACTTTGGGGGGAGTGATGAATGAGAGCGGAAGAGCGCACCAAGACGGGGGTGACACCCAGCGGTACCAAGTCATCTCCGAGACCTCAGCGAAAGTCCGTGGGACACGGAGCTGGGAGCTTACACCAAAAGCGCACCCATGAAAAAAGAAAAAAAAGACCACCAGTGGGAAAGAGGGGAGGTCAGAATAATGGGTCTGAGGGTTAAAGGACCGTCCGAGAGGCCTGAGTATGGCTGGCATCACGCAGCTTTAAGGTTTGTAGGAGACGACGGGTCTCTGCGGGGTAGGGAACTACAACCCCCAGCAGCCATTGCGCGCCCCGGGCGGGGATGGCTGTTCTGGGAGACCCCGCCCTCGTAGCCGCAAGCCCATTGGTCACCGCCTACGGCCCACGGCCCCCACCCCTTAAGCGCCTGGCCTCTCAGGTCTCGTCAAAGCGGTTCGCTTATTCACTGCGTCCGCTCAGCTAAAGTGACTGCGTAGTTTATTTGTTAGGCGTGTAAGAGTTCTTGTTTTTCAAACGTGATAACATCCAAGAGTGGTTATGAGGCCCGAAAGTGAATGTAATAATAAAATGTAGGAATCAGTGCTTGCTTGGCACAGTATTCTTGTTAGCTTTTCTTTCCTAAAAAAAAAAAAAAAATCCCCTTAGGGCTGGGGGTGTAGCTCGGAGGCAGAGCGCTTGCCCAGCCTTCGAGAGCGCCTGGGTTTTCCATTCCGTACCGCAGAACACACAGAAATCCTATTACTAGTACCTGTGCGCTTTCGTGCCGGGCAGCGAGTACACTGCGATGATCAGTTTACACCAGCTCCCTCACCAGCTGCTGATGTGTTCATTAAAACAAGTGCAAGTGGGCTGGCGGCCAGGAGGAAAGTTCTGCAAGGGAAGTCAGGAAAGTGACCTTTGAGCGGCCTGCCCTTCTAGAGAGGGTGGAAGAGTGCTAAAAACGAGGGTACAGCAAGAACCAAAGCCGGCAAGTGGGCAGAAAGAGGGGAGACCGGCGCAGAGGGGCGGGGGAGGAGCTGCGGGAGGAGAACGCTGGCCCGGCCGGCGGACCGGGTCTGCGCTTCAGTCTCCCTGTGCTTGGGGAGCACAGTACTCTCATTGACACGGTGCGCAAGTCACAGAATGACAGCACCACACAGAGCCTCCACGCGGCTGGGACGGAGGGCCCTCCTAAGAAGGCAGACAGACGGCAGGGTGAAGGACATGGGGACGGGGATGGCACGGAGACTCGATTTACTCTTTAGGTTCCCTGGAACTCATATTACTATGTGTGAATGCTGTCTCCTACGGAGTTTTGTTTTTTTTTTTTTGGGGGGGGTGTCTTTTTGAGACAATGTCTTGATAGGCAGTTTACGCTGGCCTTGAGCTCACTTTGTAGCCCAGGCTGGTCTGCCTCAGCCTACAGAGTGCTGGGATTACAGACATGCGCCACCACGCCCTGCTAAAGAGTTAACATATTGAAGACTCAACTCTTTTTACAGGATCCCTCCAGCTTCCGTGTTGAAAAGAGGACTGGGTAGCAAGTGGAAGCGGGAGGTGAGAAGTCGCAATGACGCAGTGGAGAGGACAGATGGGGCCGATGGAGGACGCCTGGCTGCAGCGGCTGTGGGGGACAACCAGGAAGGGAGACGCCAAGGGTTTTGCCTGTGTAGGGGTTGCACAGACTGCGTGCAAAGGAGAACTGCCACTTTCGGGGGAGGTTGTTTGTTCTGAGACCGGGTCTCGCTCAGGCTGGCCTTAAACTCATTATGTAGCTCAGGCTAGCTTCGACCTCAGCAATATTCCCTGCCTCGGCCTCCGAGAGCTGGGATTACAGGTGTGTGCCACCACACCTGGGAACACTGACTTCTTAGTGTTCCTGCTCCCAGCGTCCTTAGAAGTACTGGATCCAGGGGCCGGGGATATAGCTTAGTGGCACAAGCACCTGCCTGGCAAGTGCAAGGTCCTGAGTTTGACTCCTGGTACAAAAAAAGAAGTAATGAATCCAAACCCCTCACTAGGGCCCTGGCTGCCCTTGCAGGTGATCTCATGATCTCATCTCCTCCTTTCCTGCTCTCAACCTAATTAAAGCCTCTCCCTTCAGACCCCATCTGACCCCATGTGTAGGATGAATGCCCAGGATTTATACACATGGAGAGAAGCGTGTCAGGACCTTCCAGGGCAAGCAAAGTGGGAACTCCCATCAGAAGGCCACCAGTGACCCATGCACACCCATGTGGGTAGCAGCACAACTCAAAGGAGCTGAATTTTGGAAGCAGCCTATATGTCAGTGATGGCAAACCTTTTAGCAACTTCAATGATACCAACAGCCCACTGTGGCACGCCCGCCATAGGTCTGCCACCTCGGCAACATGTCATCAGCAGATGAACAGATTAAGACAATGTGGTATTTACACACAATGGAGTACTACTGTGCCATAAAGAAGGAGTCATTTGTAGGAAAATGGATGCACCTTGAGACCACACTGTTTAGTGAAACAGATCAGACACACAAGTGTGAATATCACATGGGTTCTCCTATATGAGAAATCCAATGTAGAAATAAATCAAAGTGTAAAATAATAAACAGGAGACAGGGAGATAGATCTTTTGCAAATGACAAAAAGGACTAAGATCGGAGGGGAAGGGAAGGAGATGTGAAAAGAATTAAGACGTGTCATGTACATGCGCCAGTTCTCCACAATGAATATAGTCACATACCACAACCACATACTAATGATTTTTTTAAAAAGGTGAAATGGGGGCTGGGGATTTAGCTCAGCGGCACAGCGCCTGCCCGGCAAGCTCGAGATCCTGAGTTGCGTGAGGTCCTGAGTTTGATTCCTGGTACCAAAAAAAGAAAACATGTAGGCTGAAATATCAGTCATACATAGGAAGCTCTCTGAAGCCAGCGCCTCTCCCGTCTGCCAAGGTGAAAGCCACTCTCATTTCATGTGTAAGTGCCACTGCGCAGGCTGGCGGCCACCATCGTGACTAAGCAGCTCCCATCTGCCAGGCTGCACACGTCCTGAGGAAGCCGCGTGTTCCCAAGCCTGTTTATGCCAGGTGCCCTCAATTTAATACCTTAAACCAGCCGGGTGTGGTGGCACGCACCTGTAATCCCAGCACTCAGGAGGCTGAGGCAGGAGAATCCTTTCGAGTTTGAGACCAGCCTGGGCTATAAAGTGAGCTCAAGGGCAGCCTGGACTGCCTATGGAGACCCTGTCTCAAAAAGACACACACACAAAAAAAATCTTAAGCCATGATCAAGCTGGTGGAATCCTAACTCAAGAGGTCCCACACACAAAGCATGTGGCCTGCGCAGGAAAGGAGGCAGGAGGTGCCAGGAAAAAGCTGCTGGGTTGAGTGCAAGCAAAGCCACTGCGAATGAAGGAATGGAAAGGCTCGCCAAAACCCAGGGGGCTCAGCCCTCCGTTTGCTTCCTAAGCATCTTCGTGTTCCCAAGCTCTTAAAACTTAAAAAAGTGCGGTCAACCGTCTTGTTTGTGGGTATAGTTTATAAAGAAAACGATGTATGCTGACTCAGAGGCCATACTGAAGAAAAGGTCTTGGTTCTAACAGAAATGTGTGTAGTGTGCTTCATTAAAGAATTAAAAGTATTAAAACTGCTGAGGGTGGAGGCTCGCGCCTCTAACCCAAGCACTTGGGAAGCTGAGGCAGGAGGCTCACGGTGAGTTTGAGGCCAGCCTGGGCTACAAAGCAAAACCCGGTCTCAAAAAACCCAAAAAGAAGTGTTACGATGGCCATTTGTGTCATTTGCCGTATCTTTCTAGCTCCTCAGCTGCCCAGTGATCGACCCCGCTGTGGCTGAGTAGAGCCCCGCAATTAACTATGGCCCACGTGAGTGCGATTATGTGAATTCAGCCTGGAACATCTCATTGCTGGGGGGAGGCCAGCCACTCTACGCCTTTAGTCTGTTGCTTGGCAACAGTCAAGGTCTCTCACCACGATGATGCCCCAGGCAGCATGAGAAAGGCGCTCTGGCTGTTCCTAGCAGTGCTGCTGGGGATTGGTATGCAGGAACTCAGGCCATCCTGGCAGCTTTGCGGCCTTTTCGCTCCATCTCCATTACCCAGCATTTGTTTATCAACTCCCAGTCTGAGTTTATTAAAAGGAAGAACTGGGCCAGGTGTGGTGGCATATGCCTGTGATCCCAGCATTTTGGGAGGCTGAGGCAGGAGGGTCACAAGCTCAAGCCCAGCCTAGGCGATTTATTTGGTGGCTTAGTGAGACTCTGTCTCAAACTGTTTTAAAGGGATTAGGGTGGGGATGTAGCTCAGTGTGAAGGCCTTGAGCTCCTCCCTAGTACAGTACTGCGAGGGGAAAAATGAGGCCTGCCCAGCACAAGTTCTTATATTCTGCCTTTAACTCATCCTAACTGGTGAGTGGTCCCCGAGTTAGTCCTGAGGGAGCGTCCGAGGCCGCCCGTGTTTAATTTATTCACCACAGCTCTATTCCCGCCCATGTTTAATTTATTCACAGCTCTATTCCAAGTGCCCAGCAGCACGGTGACTAAAAACCTGGTGTGGGGTACACAGGGGGCTCAGCATGCCCATCACTGCGGGCCACCTAGGCTGGCTGTCACCTCACCGCCCCTACACGCACACCCACCCGAAGCCGGCGTGTGGCGTGCCGCCAGTTCCCCATCCTGGGGACTGCAGGAAGAGCACCCGCCTGAGTCCTTGCCCCCAGGCCCAGGCAGTGAGAACAAACTGATAGAAACGGCAGTGTTCCCAAGCACAGCCCGTTCCCCCCTCAGGGACACGCTGGTGTCCCTGCAGCTGAGACGCATTTTGCCTCCCAGGGAGTTCTGGCCTGTGATAACAGCCACTCCTAGCCAGGGTCAAGGAGATGGGCAGGGATCTGCCCAAGGGCTCAGGGGTGCTGGGCGCAGTTCCAAGGGGACACTGTGTTCAGAGGGAAGTTTCCTCCCACGATCTGTCCCACTAGCGCTGGCTCATTCTCAGGGGCACAGGGGAAACGGGTTCTACCTGCGGTCCGGTCTCCTCGCTCTGGGCATGCACAGCGTGGCTGGGCCGCAGAACTCCCTGTGCTTCATCTAACTGGATGTCACAGTCGGGCGGCCCCACCGGCCAGAGACAGGAAATCTGGTGACTGGAAACATTTCTACCGATTTGTTTTGATCCAAACCCAGGTTTCCCTGTGGGGACGCCCCTCCCCCACAGGCAGCGCAGGCGGCTCCGGCCCCTCATCTCTCAGCAGCTCCGGACACAGCGCTCGCTCCCTCCTCAGAAAACCACTCCACTGCCACGACACCACACTTGCCTGGTTCTCCTCCCGGCTTCCTTCCGGCTCCCTGCCCACCCCTCACTGGGGGGTCTTTCTCAGGGCTCTGCCCTTGTTCTGGGGTCTTCTCCTCTTCCAGAGGTCACAAAATGGTGGCCCAGCAGCCTCATGGGACCCATCAGCAGAGTTTGTTTGGTCCTCACAGTGTTTTGGGTATTAAATTTGAAGGCCGTTAGGCGGGGCAAGCACTCTCCAAGTTCGCCACAGTCCCCATCGGGCCCTACTGTTTTACACCTGTCCGCTTCACGCATTTTCATAACCTGCCTGGTCCCTGAAGTCCTGAGTTTTCAGAAACCCCTGCTACACAGGCTGCCTGGGAAATCTCCCCACCTTCCACCTCCGCCACCACCGCCGGCCCTAGTCCATCTCTCCTGAGCCTCAGCTTGTTGACAAGGTGGATCCCCAGCCCCCTGGGGGCCCCGGATGTGGCAGTAACAGTCCAGGGCAGAGATGGAAACTTACTCGCCTCCAGGGGCCAGGCGGGCCATAGAAATGAGTGAACTAGTCAGGTATAAGAAAAGTCCACGGCCAGAAGTATAATCAAATTGGATCTTTACTCAACTACGGTGAATGCATGGAACAGAATACAAACATGTAGAATACTGGAGTTTATATTTTAAATTCAAAATTGAAAAAATACAAATTGAAAAATAGAAATATTATTAAAATTCTTTTCTCTTTCATAATTCTTTTGCTCCTTTGCCAAGTTGAGGTGGGAAGGCTGAGGACTTCCCTTCCACACCAAAGGGTCAGGGTCAGGTCTTGGGGGGCAGGCACGACAGGCCAGCCTCAAATCCTTCCTCTGGGAGTGAACTTTGCTCCATCTGGGTTCCTAATGGAAAACAGCTGGCCACTCACACAGCGTGGGTGCCCCAGACATGGACACGGGGTACAACGGTCTGGATCTCGCCACCTTCCCAAAGAACTGCCTTTAGGACCAGCGCCCTCCGCTCTGTGGTTCAACTACTGCGGTCTGCAGTCACGGAGAGATAGCAACACCTACCGAAACCCGCAAATGGGACAGTGTTACTTCATTGTCACAGAAAGTGGCTGCAGGAGTCTCGGGATTTGGCCTCTGAGCCCACCATCCATCCTGGTGACTACGGTCCAGGCCACCTCTCTCACTTCCAGTGTCCAAACGCAGCAAGGGGAGAGGAGTCAGATTATGCCCAGGGAGTGCATTCCTGCCTCTGCCATCCCGGGCCACCCGGATCACTCAAGGGGCAGCTGGTGGCCATCCCCGAGGAGCTGTGCTGTGTTCAAAGCCTCTGGCCGCCTCCTCAGGGAACTGGCTTTTGGTTCAAGCCACTATCAACTTGCCCACGGCTAACCCGAAGGAGCGTAACACCGCAGGTGTCCATGGTGTGTCCCTTTGGCTTCTCAGGTCCACTGAATGCAGGGGACGGGCGAGGACATGACTCCTGTCCCTGCCAAACACTGCTGCTTTGGATGGCGGTGCGCGGAGAACCCCAGGACAGGTCACTGCAGCCGTCTAGTTGTGCTTACAAGTTCTGCGCGGTGTGTGTGAAACGCGGTTCTCTCGATGCAGTCCGTTACTTCCCTGCGTCGGGCCTGCCTGGCGCCGCATCACGGACGTCCTCGGTCACATCGAAATTCCCAACACCACAAATAGATAAAGCTAACCGGGTGGTTAAGAGTTCATGAGCAGTGACAGAAAAGGCCACAACTGATCCGACTTTCAGGCAACTGGACTTGCAAAGCCTCTGGTTTACCTTCAAATCACCCCGAGACACAAATGCCCTGGACTCATGTTCTGGACGGCGTGTTCGTGACACACCGCGGCTCCCGGACGGGCGCGATCGGGTCCGCGGCAGGGTGGATCGCCCGGCTGTTCTCTCTGCGGCTCTTGCTCCTCTGCACGGCGAGCCCTACTGACACTTGAGGCCCTTTTTCAGTTCCTTGAGGATGGCGTCCCGGGTCTGCTCTGTGTACTGGTCGTAGCTCTTGCTGTGCCTGGACTCATAGTGGCGCTTCAAGTTGTACTCTTTCAACACAGACACGATTTTTTTGCATATTAGACACGTAGGCATGCTCTTCACTTCCACAAAGAAATAGTCTCGCTCCCATTTTTCTCGAAACACACGGCCCTCTCCTTCTCTCTTTCGTTTTGCCGCTTTTGGTAGAGACATGGGTACAAGAAAGATTTCACTTGTCTCTGAACGCTACCAAGGAGCAGCCACAGTGCCAGCCCCGTGCCAAGGCGCTGGGGGAACGCGAGGGGTGGTGGGGTGTGTGGCGAACCAGAGAGCACACGCCCCGCCAGAAGGCAGCGCCAGCCCTCAGAGCCAGGCATGGGGCAGGCCCGGGAGCCGGATCTCCCGACTGTCAAGAGGAGACTGCAGTGTGCGTCTCTGTGTGCGTGAATTAACCCCATTTGTACAACTCCCTTAAGGAAAGAGGACCACATATGCTAACACAGGGAAGGCCAAACAACTCACCTGCAGTGGCCCACGGGCCACCAAACTGCAACCTCTCTCCTGGGACGGGCCTGTGGCCCTTCATCCCAAGCCTGGAGGGTGGTGGTCCAGGAGCGGACCACGCTGAGTGACCCTCCAGTCCCACAACAGACACCTCGCCCCGCACCCAGGCCGCTGTCTACACCGCCTCTGAGGACGCGCCACAGGGTCCTCACCTGTCTTGACCCTGTTCCCTGTGAGGTCTTCCCTCAGGGATGGCCACTGTCCACCTTGCCCACAGCCCCAGAAAGGCCACCTCTAGCAAGGGCCCAGAGCCTGCACTCTCTGTGGGCACCTCATCCACTCCCATGGCTTTAACCAAACACACTGTCCCCTATGGACACATCCTGAGCTCCAACATGGCACCTGTCACCTGGACATCCCTAGGGCCCCTGGCACTCACGATCTACCATCGCCCCCAGCTCACGGTCCCCAGAGCCCTGCAGCCTCGGGACACGCCTTGTACTCCAGCCAGGAATGTGGCGCCTGCCCCGCTCTCCGGCTCCAGCCACCCCGGCTGCCAGGCACTGCCCCTTCTCTCAAGTGCCAGGCCCCCTTCTGCTGCTGCTGGGTACCTAGTCCCTGACCCCATGAACTGCTGCTTCTCTCTCCAGACTCTGCAGAACCCAGCTGGATCTGACGCCCTTCCTGGGTCCCTCTGCAGCCTGGGAGAGCACTGGTCCTGCCCACTACCTGACACCCGCCTGCCTCCTCGTCTCCCCAAGAGCAGGCTGCACCACGTGGCCTGACTCAACACGAGGCCCAGTGCCACCCAGCCCGGGGCCTGGGGGAGCCTGCAGAAGCGAGCACAGGAACAGAGATGAGCGGGTATCCTCCTGCCCAGTCCTGGGGACGTCAGTGACGGGAGCCGGGCGCGTGTTAAAAGGAACTTTATTGGGTGCTGGGGTTCAGATGAGATCCATGAGGATGTCGTCCTCCATGACGCTGGGCTGCAGGCCCGGCTGGGGGACCGGGCCCCGGGGACCCCCGCTCAGCAGCATCTGACCTGGGGGGCGGTGGGGAAGGACTGCATCTCCCAGTAGTCCCTGGGCCCATGGAGGGCCCGGGCCTGCTTCTTCCCTCAGCCAGGAGCCTGCGGCATCCGCTTCTCAGAAAGCCCTGGGTCCCATCACAGGTGCCCAATGACCCCACTGGTTGCCAATAGTTCCCGTGAGGCTTTGGGAGCCCTTCCCCTACACTAGTCCTCTGGCCCCAGACTACACTTTCCAGCACCCGCAGGACATGTAGGAGAGGATCACGGGAAGAGTTCTCACCCTTTAGGTCCTTGGCCCTGTGAGAGGTGCTTCCCAGCAGCCCACAGAGCCCCCTGAGGGCCTTGGGGAGACCCCTTGGCCATGGCACGCTTGCCCGCTGCTGGAGCTCCCTTACCTGGCATCGGAGCCCGCGGGGGAAGCTGGGCGGGCCAGGACTGAGCGGGTGGCGGGTGCAGGAGTGGGGGCCCCAGCTGGGGCTGCCCCAAGCTCTGGTGAGGTGGGGGCAGCAGCGCAGGAGCCCCTGGTGGCTGGAGGTGGTGGAGGGAGGCCTGGGGCGGGGGCACCCCGGTCTGGGGCTGGGGGAACACAGAGCGAGGCTCAGAGGCCCGGGTGAAGCCCTGCCACACCCACCACCTGCTGCTGTCTGAGCTTCTCAGAAGGTCTCAGCCTGCACTTTGGGATCTCAGCAGAAGCCCCCGTAAGCAGGGAGTGGGGTGTATGTTTTGCTGGGAGCCCTGGGGAGAATCTATCACACCCACTGACCAAAGCTGATCTCCTTCCACCCAGACAAAAAAATCAGAACCGCTGGGGCCAGGACCTCTAGCTCCCAGCTGCTCCACACCAAATCTCACCGGTGGTGGGTTGAGAAGCAGGCTCCGAAGCTGGGGATTGGCCCCAGGGTTCTGGGGCCGAAGGATGGATCCAGGAGGGGGTGGGCCAGGGGCAGCTCCAGGAGGGCCTTGAGGGGCACCTGGGGGAGCCTGGGTGGTACCTGGGGCCTGGGGCTGTCCTGCGGCCCCAGATGCCCCCACAGTGCCCTGAGGTTGGGACTGTGGTGGTCGGAGCTGAAGCTGCTGGGAAGAGAGACGCGGGTGAGGGAGCTGGCAGAGGCCCACCCGCGTCTCCCTCAGAGAGGAGTGATGGACGGACGTCCTCTGGGGCTGACCCGCCCGCCCTGTCCTCACCAGATTCTGCGAGGGCCTTGCTTGGTCCTCCAGAATAGGGCCCAGGCCTGGAGGTGCCTGCTGTCCTCCTATCTGCATGGGGAGAGAAGGGCAGGTCAGTGATGGGAGGGGGGGCGCCCTGAGCCTGGGCAGGGAAGGGGCAGGTGCCAGAGGGGATGGGCTCACCCCGCGCTGCTGCTCCAGCTTCTGCTGTTGGACCTGCTTGTGGTTGGTGATGACCTGGCGGATGCCATTGACGAAGCCGCTCTGGTCGTAGGGGATGAGGCCCATGAAGATCTTCTTCTTGGACGAGTAGAGCAGCATGAGCACACGCACCTCACAGGGGGCCGTGTGGGGGAAGTGCACGCAGCCGGCCTGCAGACGGACAGACAGACAGGCGCCTCAGGTCCTCGTGCCCTGGAGGTGGCTACCACCCACCCAAGAAGGTTCCAGAAGCCCTACACACAGGGACGGCGGGGTTTCTCCTGTAGGAGGCTGAAAGCAGTGCTGCTCTGGGGCTGCTCCAGACAGCAAGCGGGGCTCAGGGGTGAGTCAGAGGGCGAGACCAGCCCCTGCTGACAGCCAAGGGACAGGGAAGAAAGCAAGGTCCCTGCACGAGGACAGCCTCGGCTCTGACCGGCGCCACCGCCCCACGGGTCTTGTTTCCTTGGCCATGACAAGCCCGGGCTGCCCCTGAAAGGCCACCTGGAGGGACCCAACCTTGAGAGAGGGGCTCAGAGCGTGTGACTGACAGTTGTGGTGGGCCTAAGACCAAGTTCCGGCCGCGCCCTCTCTCAGAACCCTCTCCATGGTGCCGGCCCCGTGAACTGAGGAAGCAGCGCAGACATGGCAGTCCCCGTGACCAGAAGACAGGTGATAACCATCTGCCCTAGCAGAGGCTCCACCCGCCGGACATGCGGTGGATGCTGTAGTCACCTCACGCTTCACAACCGGGGCTGAGGAGCTGACCTTGAGGCCTCTATTCTCTGAGCCTCAGTTTCCCATTTGAGGCAGAGCTAGTGCTGCCCACCCGACACCCATGTGCCAGTGCCACTTCGAAGAGCTCTGGCTGTTCGGGAAGTGACGTGTCCAGGTCCCAGGGCCCAAGTCACTGCGGCCCAGCAGGCCAGGCCCAGCTCCAGGGCAGATTCTGTTTCCCAAGGAATGGCAAGTTCATGGTGGTGCCTCTTCCCTCACCCAACTTCGGCACTGTGCACACGCTGCCCGCAGCCACAACTGCCCCGTCCCACGCCGGGAGAAACAGAGACCCGGGCCAAGGCACCTGGAGCCACAAGACCAGCTCCCTCGGGGACCCTCGCCCTCAGAACCTAGCTGCTACGCCAAGGAGTCAAAAGCTGCGGCACGGGCCACGCACAGGACCTGTGTGACCTCCCAGCGGGGCCGCACGCTAGCTTCTCGACGACCATGGGCATGACAGTCCCCGAGCCGGGCCACAGGACTGCACAAGTAAACCGTCTGCGAGCCCAGTGCAGCGGTCCGGCTCTTTGGAAGGGGCCGTGCCCAAGAGGGGGCTCCTCGAGGCGACCCCCGGGATGAGGACAAAGGCCACAGAGCACGCGTGTGAGCACGGCGACACCCGAAGGCGGCCTGCAAGGCCGCAGCGGCACCGAGGAAGGACGCAGCGCGCCTGACCCTGGCTTTCTGCAGCCCCCAAAGCCTGGGGACTGAGCAGCTGCTCCCCGAGGCCGCGGTGCGGAGCATGAGCTGGGCAGCCCAGGCCTCCACCCCGCCCGTGTCCCTCTCAGCACCGCGCTTCCTCCTGGCTGCGCTGGGACACGCCTCGGCCTGGCGCCCATCACCCCTCAGAGCGGCTCCAGGCTCTGTGCAGCACAGCAGCGAAGGCGCTGGGTTCCAACCCCACCCTCGCCAAAAAGCCTCCCTGGCCAGGGGGCCCGGGGCTGCGGGCAGAGGCGGCAGCTGGCAGGACAGAGGGGGCGCCCGCCCGGACTCACGAAGCCGTTGCCCATGATGCGGTAGAGGCCTTTGAGGGACTCCAGGTCCTTGTTGGTGAAGTGGAACTGCACCATCCTCGAGTTCCGGAACAGAGGGCCCAGGGTGGTCTGCAGGGACACCAGGGTCACGCGTGGGAATGAGGAGGGGGCAGAGGCAGGGAGGTCAGGGAGGCCGGACGGGGCTCCTTGGGGCACGGTACACACCAGCAGCTGCTGGGGGATGAGCTGCATGATCAGCTTCTGCGGCCACTGCTCGGTCTTCCTGGGGAGCGACATGAGGACAGGGGTCAGGAGGGAGCGGACCCGGACCCACCCCGCCCCAGGGCCACCTACAGGTTCTCTTCGTGATTCACGTAGACCTGGCAGGGGAGGGACCGGGTCAGCTTGGTGTTGGCATCCACCGAGGCGGGCTTGGGCTTCTGAGGGAAGAAGCAGTCACGGTGAGGACGGGCCGGCCTGGCCTTGACCGCCCTGCCTCCCCCTGCCGCCCCCAAGCCCAAGCCACCCGCTCCACCAACCCCACCTCCTCTGGCTCCAGATGCCTCCTCCAGCCCTGAGCCCCACGCGCGCTGTCTCCCAGCGGCCACGACCACAAGGCCCCTTCCGGACCCCAAATCCTGTTTTCCTGGATTCGTCACCTCAACACAACTTCTTCGACACTGAGCTACATCCCCAGCACTTTGTATTTTTCTGAGACGGGGCTGGGGCTGTCATTAAATTGGGCTCCTCCCCCATCGGGCTCACAAGTGTTGGGACTATAGGGTGACTGCAAAGTCTGGTAACATAACTTTTAAGCCCGCCTGGGCCCCGAGCCCCAGATCCATGGTTCGGTGAGGCCCTGAGTTCTACCTGCCTAATGCAGCCCTGACGCACTCACCTCCTGCCACTCGAGCACCCCGCTCCAGGCCAGCAGCTTGTTAGAGACTGACTGCTGCCCACCAAGTGCTGGCGCGCCCAGCTGGGCCGGGGAAGGACCACTGACGCCACCTGGGGCCACTGTGCCCGCCTGCGGAGGAGGAGGGGCGGGACGGGCCTTAACACACCCCCCCCAAGCACCCCCGTCAGAGCCTTCACACACACACACACACACACACACACACACACACACACACCACCCCCAGCACCCTGTCAGAGCCAGGAGGGGCCGTGTCCCAACGCTGCAGGACACTGAGGACTCACAGGTCCGGAGATGCCTGGACACCCAGGTTCCCTAGGTTCCTCTGACCCTGGAACCCGACCCTTGAGACCTGCCCCAGCCTTCCCCCCTCACGTGTGCCGTGAGCTCCAGAGGCCCCAGACGCCCCTCCAAGGCTGCCCCAACCTGGGAGGGCAAATGGCACCGCTCACTGCCCTCGCCCCGAAGCCAGCGGGATGGACACATGTACCTACCATGGACGGTGCCCCAGGCTGTGCGGCAGGGGCCAGGCCCGGGCCAGGCACGACCGTGGAGACCAGGTTGGGCTGCGAGGCAGGAGGCGCCTTGGAGGCACCAGCAGCCCCCGGGGGTAATGTTGGGGGTGTGGCCTGGCTGAAGGGGGGTCCCACTCCTGAAGCAGCCTGCTGGAGAGGGTTGATGGGCGAGACTGCGGGAGAGACAGAGGGGACAAGTAGGGAGCCATGCAGAGAGGGCCCACGCTCCCGGAGGTCCCCCACCACCCGGGACTCACAGCGCGGGCCCAGCCCGGCCTTCTGGCTCTTGGCAGCCTCCACTGCATTCTGCGCTGCGACCTGCGCCGCGCTCAGGTTCCCGGGGACCTGCGGGGGGAGCGGCTGGGTGTGCCAGGGCCCAGGGCACCGTACCCTGCTCTGCCATCCGCACTCCTGCCTCCTCACACCACGGGCTGCTCCTCACCACCCTCGGGCCCCCACGCCCCCTGGAGACTCCTGCACCCCACACGCCCCAGTGCTCAGTTCTGTCTCTGCCACAAAGTGAGGACTCCTATGAGGCCCAGGCCCGAGCCCCTTCCTGGCGACAGCCATACCTGATACTGCGGCGGCACAGGGGGCAGGGACTGCTGGGGCGCGGCCGAGAGTGTGGCACCCGAGGGGGGCGCGGGTGGCAGAGGCACCTGCTGCTTGGGCTGGAGGGCGCCTGGGGCCGAGCCACCCCCAACTGAGACCGGAGGAGGAAAGGGAGGAAGTCCAGAAGCCTGGTCAGAGGGAGCAGGGAGACACCCGAGCCCTGCCCTGTCCCACCACCCGTGCCCAGGCCTCACCGGGCAGCACCAGCCCTCGCACCAGCACCATGTGCCGGGGGTCCTGGCTCACATCCGCCGGCAGCTGCATCGGCTCCAGCATGGCTGGGGGGGCGGCCTTCTCGAATAGAAGCCGAAGGGCTGGCAGCTTCCGAGGGGACACGATGGAGAAGTGGATGCCTCGCTGCAGGAGAGGAGACAGGGGTCTGCACAGCGCCCTCTACCGGGCACTGCCACGGGTTTCCATGCTGCCACCCTCATGGTGAGATCCGGGATTGGGTCCCCAGGCCCCGGGCAAGGGCTGTTTTGACAAGCACAAGGAAAAAGAGCTACACACAGAGCCCACCACTACTCGGGAATCCAGGTCCGAGCCCTCCTCTTTCAGACCCAGGCGTCCAGACCCCAAGTCGCTCTTAACTAGACAGACCCCGGGGTGCTGGCTCCAGCCCTCTCTTCCCCCAGACCGGGGCCCAGGCCCCGCCTCCTCCCTCAGGCCGGGCCCTCACCTCCCCGATCTCCTGCACGAGGCTCTCGGTTGTGTACCCCGAGTAGGTGGTGCTCTCCACAGCAGGCAGCAGGTACGGCGGCGAGTTGCAGATGAGCAGGCACACACGGTGCGTCTGGCCACTGCCGGGGCAAGACAAGGCACGGGATGAACCCCAGCAGGCCCTGAGAAGGAAGCCGGGCCTGGCCAAGCTGAGGCTCACCCCTGCCCCCCAGGGCGTCAGGGGCAATGGTCCGGTGCGCAACTGTCAACACGGCGGGGGGCGTGAGATGGCACCAAGGGGTGGGCTACACTCACATCTGCTCGCGCATCTTCTTGAAGTCATCGAAGAGCTGCAGAGCTGTGCTGAGGCCCTCTGCGATGAGGCTGCAGCTCTCACCGCCGCCGCCCATGAACCTGCGGGAGGCCGGGCAGTCAGCCCGCTGCCCTCACCCGGTCTGGCCACCCACGAAGGGCCTGCTTCCTTCCTGTCCCCCACCCGTGGCGGACCGTGTGCCCCAGGGCACTGCCTGAGGGTGAGGATGGGAGATCCCAAGCCTAGGCCCCCGTGCTGTCCCAGCCCTGGTGTGACTGCCACCTGGCCACCCTCCTGCCGTCCCCTCCTCTCTGAGCTGTCCGCACCGTCTTTACAGCTGCCCCGCCTCACCAGCCAAGGATGGGGGCTCCTCTGCCCACACACAGTGCTACAGCCTGAAGCGTATCCTCCGCAGAGCAGGCTGAGGTCCTAACCTCCAGTACCTCACAGGGTGACCTTACTGGAAACAAGATCTCTACAGATCATATAGGTAAGCTGAGGCTACTGGGGGCCCCAAGCCAGAGGGACTGGTATCTGTGAAAGGGACAAGCTGGACACGTAGACCGACACACGGAGAGGGAAGAGGCTGGCGGCGGCCCTGTGAAAACTGGGTGACACTACCGTAGGCAGGCATGGCTGGGGCCACCAGCAGAGGACAGAGACAAGGAAGGACCGTTCTCCTCTGGGTCTGAGAAGGAGCCTGGCCCCGCCAGCACCCTGACCTCGGGCTTCCAGACTCAAAGCTGCGAGTCAGTAGAGCTCTGGCTCTCACCCAGTTCCTGCGCTTGTGGCAGCTGTGTAGGAATCTCCCAATCTCTCTCTCTCTCTCTCTCTCACACACACACACACACACACACACACACACCGGTTCCCCTGCAGCTGTCCATCCTGGGGGGTGGGCCCGGAAGGCCTTTACTGCAGCAGTTACTACCACCGCTCTTCAAGCTGACTTTGTCGGAGGGGACGAGTATGACCCCCTGAACTGCGGTCTCGGCGTCCGAGTCTGCCTCCATGTCCCCATGGGCAGGAGTAGGGCTAGACTCCTCTCTTGTCCCCAGCCCTGCCCACCACACTCCGCATGTGGGAGGCCACGGGGAAACGTGCGCTAAATAAACAAGAAGCAAAGCCAGCCGCGCCCAGGGTCCCTGGGCAGTAGCTCCCTCGACGCACATGCATGCAGCTGGCCAGAGTCCACGGTTACCCAAGGTCTAGGCCCTAGGAGGCGGAGGAAACCCATACCCTCAGCCCACAAGCCCTGTGGCACACCCGGCCCGCAGGCCTCTGTGCGTGTGCTCCCCGGACCACAGCCCATTCTGGCCTAGTCAGAAACCCAACTGATCGTGTCTCCAGCCCAACATGGCGTTGTCCTCCTCCAAGAAGCCTGCCTGAATCACAAGTCACCTGACACCATGGTTGCCCGCCTCCCAACTCCACGTGTGCACCCCTCAGTGAGGGAGTCCAAGTCACCTGAGCCCTCCTGCAGTGTACCCCAGGTCATGTAGGCCGAGGCACCGCCGGCCACACACGGATACATCGCAGTGGACAGAGCTGAGGTGGCTGGGCCCTCATCTCCCTGCCCCAGTGCCACAGGAACTTTAAGCCCATAGAGGTGGGCAGACGCCACTGCATACACCTACCCTACACCCAGCCTGCTGTCCAGCCTCTTACTACAGGAGAAATGAAAGCCCAACATTCTCAGGCCCTTCTGAGACTCAAGCCTATTACCCTGCCTGAGCTGAGGTGATAAGGAGCAGCTGCTTTCTGCCCTTCTTCCTCTGCCCTTTTCATTGTTTTTCATTTGTTTGTTTTGAGACCAAGTCTCACTATGGAGTTTGGCCTGGCCTCAACCTCATGGTGATCCTCCTGCCTCATCCTCCTGAATACCCGGATTACAGGAGTGCAACCCACCCCCAGCTTGGTGTGTCCTTTTGATGTGATGAAAATGTCTTGGAAAGACACAAACATGGTACTGCACAACACTGTGAAAGTAGTAAAAGCTACCAAATTATACACTAAAAGGATTACTTCTTCGAGGTGTAGTACCATGCATCTGTAATCTCAACACTCAGGAAGCTGAGGCAGGAGGAACACCACAACTTTGAGGCCAGCCTGGAAGTGAGGCTCAAGATCAGAGTTCAAGACCAGCCTGAGGGCTGGGGATTTAGCTCAGTGGCATAGCACCTGCCTGGCAAGCGTGATGTCGTGAGTTCAATTCCCAGTACCGAAAACAACAACAAACCCTCCCCCACCAAAAAAACAGCCTGAACTAAATACTTAAGACTGTCTAAAAAAAGAGGAGGGGAAACGGGGAAGGGGAGGGGATATAGTGGTGCAGGCCTGTCATCCCAGCTACTTAGGAGACTGAAGCAGGAAGACCACAAGTTTGAGGCCAGCCTGAGCAGTTTAGATTATCACAAAATATTAAAAATTGCAAAGGGCTGGGGCTATAGCTCAGTGGTAGAGCACTTGTCTACCCTGGGTTCAATCTCCAATATAGCAAGTTAGAAAAAATAAAACTTTGGAGGAAAAGTGTGACAGAGGGTCTCACTATGACACCCTAAAGCTTGCTTTTTTCTTATTGAACTCAACTGTAAGTTATGCTACCAGCTGCAAGAAAGACATGTAACAAACACCATCAAACAGATGAGAAAGGGGCTGGGCACTCAGCTCTGTGGTACAGCACCTGCCTGGCAAGGCCAAGGTCCTGAGTTCAGTTTCCCAGTACCAAAAAAAAAATAAAAAAAATAAAAATTCCAGATGAGAAAAACAAACAAACAAAAAAAAAGTCAGTTGCAAACATGGCTTAAATACCGTCAAATATATGTCTGTCTATCTTACTTATTTTGCAGTGCTGGGGATCAAACCAGGCCCTTGGGTTTGCTAAGCAAATACACTACCATCAAGCTACGCCCCCAGCCCCATTCTTATTTTATGTTTAAGTTTACCTGGGACTAAGCTTTAATGGCTGAGAATATACATTCCCTCAGTGACAAGAGTACTTGCCTAATGTACCTGAGGCCTTGGGTTCAATCCGCTGCTGCTGCAGTGCAAAAAATTTAAAATAAAGCCCCCTTGGTGATGGTGGCAATGACTCTTGATACTTTTTTTTGGTAAGACAGGGTCTCATTATGCAGTTCAAGCTGGCTATAACCTCACTACAGAGCCCAGGCTGGCCTCGAATTCACAGCAATCCTCCTGCCTCAGCCTCCCAGGTGGTGGGATTACAGGCGTGAGCCACCATTCCAGCAACTCTTAGTACTTGGCCGGCCCTGGAACCTGTCCCACTTGTCCTACCTATTACCACACTCTTGAGCTGCCACACTGGAATGCCCCAGGATGTAACAGCAGCCGGTGCTACCAAGGAAATGCTGTGAGCCATCCTGGCACCCACCAAACACAGAACCACACGGGTCAGACTTTGTCACGTCCCTCTGACAACTCCTTGGTGTCACTTGCGCACAAACACAAAACTGAAAGAATAAACAAACTGCTACAGGGGAAGACACTTGGGTCTATTTTTCGTCTACCTCTATTGTTTTTGATCCTAGGCTTCCAGCTGTTAAGAAAGGAAATGCAAGCTGAAAGCAAGGACACATCAACAAAACAAAGCACAATGCCAGCCTCCCTCCTTTAATTTGAAACCTCGCAGAAGATAAGATTTCTCCCAGTGTGAAAGAAGCCTGCTTGCTGGTAGTCTCTGCTACAGACCAAGGAAGGTCAGGCACCTAATCCACACAGTTGTACTGGACTAGATCAAAACAGTGACCTTGGGAAACAGTAAACACTGGCTGACAACGTTTATCAGCTGCTCTGGAAGATTCCAGACGGAGAACACAGCTAGCTTTTGTGTGGTTCCAGGTATGGAACTTTCAGAGTTCAGGGATAGGGTAGACGAAGGATTAAGGTGTTTGGATAACAGTTCCCCTTTTCCAGAGTGTTTGGAATTCCCCTCTTTTCTTTTCTATGTACTTCAGGTTGGCCTTGAACTCACTCTGTATCCCAGGCTGGCCTCAAACTCACAGCAAGCCTCTGGCCTCAGCCTCCCTGAGTGCTGGGATGACAGGTGTGCATCAACACACCCGGATGTGGGTTTTGTTTTGTTTTTTTCTGTCATGCTGAGGATTGAATCCAGACACTACCACTATATCCCCTCTTTTTATTTTGGGAGTGGATCTTACTAAGTCACTAAATTGTTCAAGGATATTCAAATTCTCAATCCTGCCTCAGCCTCCCAGAATGTGGGTATAACTGGGCATGGCGGCACATGCCTATAATCCCAGCACTTGGGAGAATGAGGCAGGAGGATTGTTGGGGAAGGACTGTGATCACTAATGAACCGATCACTGATGGTCGGCTAATGATCCCCAGCTGTACTGAGTGTTCGTGGTGCGGGGTGTTGGAGGCTCGCCCGAGGATGGTTACCATCAGCTGAGAGGCAGAAATGGAAAGGGGTAATGAATTTCTCCCGTTGGTCTGAGTTATGTTCTGGGTTCCAATAAAAAGGGATTGAGATGGGTGATCTGGGCTGCTGCAGTCCCAGAGGCTGTGGGCCCCCGCCCCCAGACTTTTGCCGCTTGTTTTTCTTATCGTTTACCTTTTCTTATTCATCCACACGCACCTAGTTCTCAGGACCTGTCACTACAGGTAATACCAAGAGAGCATTGCAAGTTTGAGGGCAGCCTGTGTTTCAAAAAAAAAAAAATGCAGCCAGGCATAGTGGTGCACATCTGTAATCCCAGTACTTCGGAGGCTGACGCAGGAGGATTGTTGCAAGTTCAAGACCAGCCTGGGCTACAAGGAGAGCTCAAAGGACAGCCTGAACTGCATAGGGAGACCCTGTCTCAAAAAGACAAAAAAAACAATGTGATTGTACACTACCCTACTGGACTCCAGCAGAATTTTGTTTTGAGAGAATCTCCCTATGTAGCTCAAACTGGCCTTAAACTCACAGCAATTCTTCTGCCTCAGCCTCCAGAGTGCTTCGATTATAAGGCCACAAGGCCTGGCAGAATTTTCTAAGAAAAAAATTTAACTGCATTTACTAACGTTCAACATCCACTGGAGGTTTGGCTTCTCCCTGCAGGTTCCAATCATTGGTTTACTCAGCTAAGATCTCTTAAGGCCTGTTGGGTCCTAAGTCCCAGCTGGAAGTGAATAGCAGGAGAAATTCCCAGGACCTGGACAGACATGGAAGGATTAAGACGAAGGATTAAGGTGTTTGGATAACAGTTCCCCTTTTCCAGAGAGTCTAGAAGTATGGCGCTGTGGGAGGGGAACACAGGAATGGAGGAGAGAGCAAGCAGCTGCTTGTAAAAATCCAGGACAATTTCTCATATGTGGACATGTGAGCTGGGATCATAATGGTAATGTAGGAGTTTACCAGAGCAACTACTTTGAAGGGCATTTTGGGCACTCACACACTCAACAGTTTTCCTAAGGCCTCTGTCGTACCAGCCCTGGGTTGGTGCGAGAGGTGCTAGGGACTTGAGGGGAACCCGACTTGGATCTCCAGCCTCAAGGACCCCACTGAATGTTACTCCATTCTTAGGACAATCTAAAAACCAGTGGCTAGTGGGCTGGGGGTTTAGCTCAGCGGCACAGCGCCTGCCTGGCAAGTGCGAGGTCGTGGGTGCGATTCCTGGTACCGGAAAACAAAACAAACAAAAAAAACCAGTGGCTATCAAATGAGGTAAATTTTGCCCGCCAGGGGACATCTGCTAACACACTGAGACATTTTTGGTTGCCATGCCTTTTGGGCAGAAGAAGCTGGGCCTGGTGGCACATGCCCATAAGCCAGGCTACTCTGGCAGACTGAGGCAGGAAGACTACAAGTTTGAGGACAACTCTAGCAACTAAGCAAAACCTTGTCTCATAATGAAAAATAAAAAATAAAAAACGCTAGGAATGTAGGAATGTGACTCCATGGTAGAGTGCTAAGTTCAACCCCCAATATGGCAAAAAAAAGAAAAAAAGAAATCTTAGAAGAGCTGGGAATGTAGCCCAGAGGTAAAGCACTCATCTAACATGTGAGGGGCCCTGCTTCAATTCCCAGCACCACCAAGAAACACACACACACTGTAGCAAGCTGGGCATGATGGAACTGGGGACCAGCCTGGGTAGCACAGCAAGACCCTGTTGTGCTCAACTAGTAAAACACCAAGACAGGGAGCATGGAAAGGACACTCAGGTGTCCGTTTTCCATCTCGGGCTCAGCACCCACATGCAGTCCATGCGTGTGAACGTCAGGGCAGCCACCGATCACGGCTGCTTTTTATCAAACCCTGACCATAGCTGCATGCGCACAGTACGAACACCTCCTCCTGGGATTCTTCCCACATCAGGGCGGGCCACAATTCCCTTACCCATCTGCCAAGCAGGAAACTGAGGCATAAAAATATGGGAAAAGCTTACAGGGCATTTCCTGTGTGCCAGGCACAGCCTGTAACACAGTCCTCACCTCATTTCACCGTCAAAACATCCCATGAGCTGAGCTGGTGGTCGCCCGCCTCAGGATACTCCCCAACAATCCCACCTCCCGGTTTTCACACGGGGCATGGCCCCTCCTACCCAGAACAGAGCCGACTCCTATAGCAAACAGCATGCGGCACAAGGGATGGTGTGCGGCTTCCTCTGGCTCTCTGTATCAGTCATTCAGGAAAAGGGAGCTGCCAGAGAGCAACTTTGGTCTCCAGTCAGTAGGCAGAGGAGCAGAGATTCCTCCGGCAGGGCCTGGCCCGGCCCAACCCTTCATGACTGCGGGCACCTGGGAGACCCTGAGCTGAACCATCCAGCTTGGCCACCCCTGAGTTCATTAACTAGGGGTAACCTGTTATACAACAACGGACAGCTAGTTTTACACTACCAACAGCGGGGTGCGGTGGCTCACCTATAATCCCAGCACTCAGGAGGCTGAGCCCTGGCTACACACGAGACCTTGACTCAAAAAGCAAAACACAAAACAAAATAAATAAAAAAAAAATACTACCAACAGCCCCATTTCAGGAATGAAGTCCCTGTGTGCTAGGAACTCCTGGGTCTGAAAGCTCAGCGGGCGAATAGTTCCTTCTGAGCCCAGGCTGCCTGACTTGAGGCTGCAGAATCAACTATCAAACTCTGACCCAAACCATAGAGGAGTCTCCCCTCTGCATTCAGGGCTCAAATCCCCTGAAAGCGGACAAGATGACAGGAAGGGACAGACCAGAAGCACACGGAGAGCACAGGGCGGCCATTCCACAACCGGATGGCAACACTGCGGAGCACACGGAACCGCAAGTGACACAGGAACAAAAACCTCCCTCTCCCTCACGGTCCCTTCAACGACCCAGGGTGAGGAAACAGCTCCTGCAGCTCAAGCCCGAGCCGCCACTCTCTCAGTCCCCGACAGGGTCCCCCAACCTGCCCAAGGGTGGAGAAAAGCTCACTTAATGCCATCAAGCCAGGTGACAAACTCATAGGCGCTGCTGGTGGGAGCGTGACACTGTACGTAGGACTCCGGGGCGCAGTCCACTGTGTTGAAGACCACCAAGCTGTACTGGGTACCCCCATACTGGGTGAGAAGGCACAGGAAGCGTTAATCAGGGACGTGAACTTTTTCCCCTCGGAAAGAACTTGGAGCTCCCAGTTTCCTGCTGCTGCTAACCAAGCACCAGAAATTCCCCGCAGCTTCTTCCATCCGGCCGGGCGCCCGCGTCCTAAGGACCTGCCATCCGGACCCCGCCTCCTCCCCAGCCCCGGGGTCCCGGCCCCGCCTCCTCCCCAGCCCCGGGGTCCCGGCCCCGCCTCCTCCCCAGACCCCGGGTCCGGGCCCAGGTTCCTCAGCCTCCGGGTCACAGACTCACGTCACCCCCGAAGTCTGTCTCCGCAGGAGGACCACCATTGAAATACCTGCGAGGACGGAGGTGCAGAGCGAGGTCAGGCACCGGCTGTGCACGGCCCACCTCGGAGGGAGGCCGCCCCGCGAGACCGTACTCACTCGATGGCCGGGAGCAGGTAGTGCTTGCGCAGCCCCTCGAAGTAGGGCCCCAGGTTGGCGGTGCCCTCGATCACAAACACCACGTCGGCCACCAGGCCCCCGGCCCGGGCCGGGCCCTCGGACCCGGGCACCATCCCCCGAGTAGGCGCCGCCACCGCCGCCACGGCCCCCTGGGAACGAGCGGAAGTGCGCGGGGCGTGCGCGCGCACCCGGGCCGGATGTCTGCGCGGCTCGGCGGACGCGCGGGCGGCCATGTTTGTGCGGGGCACTCGGCGCCGTTTTCTACTCTTTCCCTTCTCTTTCCCGTCCACAGCGTGAATATTCATGCAGGACATAGTGAGCCCCTTCGGAGATCTCGTGGGAAGTGGTGAATTATTGTAAAAACTGTCTAGAACAAAATAAACAGAAGGAAACACATTCGGCCGCCATCTTTGAGCGGGGCGCCTAAGTCGGACTCGGGCTCAAAGAGCGGGGGAAGGAGACGTGGTTGCTAGGCAATATGTACGCGGCTCTTGTTTTCCAACAGAGAGATTAAATTGCTCCTTCTGTTCCTTCGGGCGCGCGAGACCTGGAAAGGAACTTGTGGAGGAGCCAATCGCGTCGTCTGAAACGAGGTTACTACGCAACGCTCTGCGCTCAGTTTGGAAGACTGCAGCTGTTTTCTCTCAGGCAGAACGTGAGCGCCAACCAAAGTGGACGCTGCTAGGCAACACCTGATCGCTGTTTTCTGTGAGACAAACCAGAAATTGGCCCTGAGTATAAGTACATTCCAGGCGGGTTAAAAATGTTAATATTACCGGGCATGGTGACGCACGCCTATAATCCCAGCACTCGGTAGGCTGAGGCAGGAGGATCGTTTAGAGTTCGAGGACAGCCTGGGCTACATAAGTGAGTTCAAGGCCAGCCTGAACCCCTGTCTCAAAAAAAACAAAGAATAAATAAATAAATTTTAACGTCACAAATGAACTCCCAAAACTACCAGAAGGGGAGATAAGTACATTGTATAATCCTGAAAAATCAATAGAGATCAGTTAACCACTAAGCCACAAAACGTAAAATCTCCATCAACCGTTCAAACACCACATAAACCAAATTTAAAAATCTACGGCTGGGGATTTATCTCAGTGGCACAGCGCCTGCCTGGCAAGCGCGAGGTCGTGAGTTCAATTCCCGGTACCGGAAAAAAAAACAAAAAAACAAACAAAAACAAAACAAGACAAATGTTAAAAAAAAAAAAA